ATTAATAACATTTTTAATGCGTTTTTTTCCTGTCAATTTGTGGCAGTTTCCTGCGTACTAACCCTCACATAGACAGCCAAGCTGTGGAGCACAATATATTTGTGGCGAGCGCATGTATTATAACGAAAGCTCTCAATTTTCTAAATCTCTTAAAGCATTAATTTATGTAGTCATTCAAATGCAAAAGACATGCACAGCCCCGCACTTCCACCTCTGATAGATATGGTTAAACCTAGTTACGAGCTCTCAACGTGAACAGTGCAAGATAAATGAGTAAACGTGCCTCCTGTTGAGAGTATTAAGTGCGTGCATAGAGTTGTCCAAACCTCATTTCACTATGTTTTTAACGTCATATATATCTTTAAGTGTACAGTGGTGGTGTTGTAAGTTCGTATATAATAAACTGTGTAAACCAAGCTTGTGCCTTTCTGTCTTTCTTGGCAAACAAGCCATTGTTACAGTAATAAATATGCTTTCATAGGCGTGCTGTAACACACTCCTTAGTTGAAAAAGATAGGAACTTATTGGGTGTTTTTCCAAACCTGATAAAAAAAACTGGTTCTTTTGTAAGAGGGATTACATGGGAATGATTGATACAAACAAGGCTATGACGCGTGAAGCAAGGTATCAAGGACGGTACTTGCGCAGGCATGTAAAACATTTGAAAACAATTTAAATTTCGCGCCACCGGTGAAAATTATTTCGATTTCGCGCCAAAAACAATCGTGACGTCACAATCATGAGGAAATTTCGTCATATCGTGTTTCTTTTTCATAAAGCGTCACTTCCTGTACGTCACAGGCGAGCATGACTAATGACAATGCCGCGCATCTAACAGATGGCGCTGCGCCCCATGAGCCGCCATCTTTGCGCCCACGGGCTTCTATGGAAGCTTCGCTACCATCCATACATATACCTTGTCTCCAGTTTCGGAATGTGTAGCAGACGCTCGTAAGCCGCCAGCGCTATCTCCGAGGCGGTACCACGCGCCCGATTCCGAGCTAGACTCCGTGCCGCGGAAGAGCGGGAAAGCAGACATGTTTGCAGGCACAGTAGGACGCGCATGCGCTTTTGTGTGATCTCGAAACCAGGCGACCCGCCGGCAGATGGCAGAGCAATGCGTTTCAGCTTAAAGCCCCTCGATGTGTTTGCGCTTGTCTTGCAAGTAGCGTCAAATGCGCGAGTGCACGAGGCCCATGTCTCGAGCGGTCCTTGGAAGCAAATGGCGGCGCAGCACTGAAATGAGCGGGCCTTGGAAGCGAATGGCGGCGAAGCACCCGCTCATGGCACGTGTCTCGAGCGCTTCCACAACAATGGTTGGCGGTACTTGTAAAAAACGCTTTTATCAAGGGGCTTTATTTCAGCTACAGCTCGCACGTCCTGGGGACTTTTGTCCCCGACAGTACAATCACGAACAATATGAGCTGAAACCGCTGAAACAGCACTCCGGCCGCCGCACAATACTACCTCCGCCGCCTATCGCATCGCTCCGCAAACACAGCGCAGCCTGGGGCCGAATGTGCGTTGCAATGCGACAGGCGGCGCAGGTAGTACCGTGCGGCCAGAGCCGTATATTGGGAGAGTTTGGCCAGTGGGGTGTGGCGACAATGGCGCCGGAGAGGAGA